GCGCTGTAGCTCAAGTGGTAGAGCGCTCGCCTTGAGCTGAAGAGCTGAGGGACAGCGCCCAGGCCCAGAGTTCAAGCCCCACGACCGACAAAAAAAGAAAAAGCCCCATGTGCTCCTCATCAGAGAAGGGCTCTCAATGACTTAGGTCAACCCCAGCTGCACCTCGGAGTTGCACAGAGTAGCTCACAAGACAGAACCGAAAACTAAAGCCAAAAAGGTCTGGGATTGTGGCTCAAGTGGTAGAGTGCCTGCCTAATAATGTGTAGTCCTGAGCTTAAACCCTAGTACTGCCAATAAATTAAAAAACAAAACCAAAAACCAGCCAGGTGCCAGTGGCTCACACCTGTCCTCCTAGCTACTTAGGTTGAGATCTGAGGATCACGGTTAGAAGCCAGTTCCGGCAGGAAAGTCCATGAGACTCTTTAATCACAGAAAAAGCTAGAAGTGGTGCTGTGGCTCAAAGTGATAGAGCACTAACCTTGAGCAAAAGAAGCCCAGGGACAGCGTCCAGGCCCAGAGTTCAAGCCCCAGGACTGACAGAAAAAAAAATTCAGAATCTTAAGGTAGGAAAAAATTATAGGACTGCAGTCCCCATGATTCATCCCCACCATACTTCATGGTGTGTGTGTGTGTATGTATGCAAGTCCTGGGGCTTGAACTCGGGGCCTGAGCTCTTCAGCTCAAGGAAAACAAGCACCCTACCACTTGAGCCACAGTGCAACTTCTGGTTTTCTGGTGGTTCACTGGAGATAAGAGTCTCATGGACTTTCCTGCCTGGACTGGCTTTGAACTGTGATCCCCAGAATTCACTAGAATGACAAATGTGAGCCACTATTGCTCTTTATTCTTTATAATGAATAAATGTCCTGGCATTTATTAAGGACAATTACAAGGGCTGATGTCAATTTTTTTCCAGTTTCAGCAGGGTCATTTGAGGACTCCTTGTCCAGCTGTTGCTGTTTTTCTGGCTGGGAGGTCTTGGTGGTTTAGCTCCAGGCTAAAAGCTGAACAAAGGAGAAACTCACCCCGTGCTTTTTCTGAATGTGAAGTCCCCTCCGATCCCTGCCTGATTGTCTTCACTTTCCAGTGGCTTTCTGCAATTGTTTTCTATTTTCTTCAGCATTTATCACTGTGATTTAGGAGAGTGCTGGAATGTGAATTCTAACTATGGGCATGCAGGCTTTTGATGAGGGCTGTCCGCCCCCTGGTGGCCACAGGTGGCAATGGCAAGCCTGTCAATGTAGCATGGTCCAAAATCCTGTATCAAAATAGCAACAATTTACTCCCTATATAATAGCTTGTGCTGGAAATCCAACTACCACCTTCATATTCTGAGTACCTCCATATAGAAGGGTGTTTTTTTTTTTTTTGTCAGTCATGGGGTTTGAACTCTGGGCCTGGGCGCTGTCCCTGAGCTCTCCAGCTCAAGGCTAGCACTCTATCACTTGAGCCACAGGGCCACTTCTGGTTTTCTGGTGGTTCACTGGAGATGAGTCTAATGGACTTTCCTGTCCAGGCTGGCTTTGAACTATAATCCTCAAATCTCAGCCTCCTGAGTAGCTAGGATTACAGACGAGAGCTACCAGTGCCTGGCCTATTTTTTTTTTTTTTTTGGGTCCGGTTGTGGGGCCTGAACTGTGGGCCTGGACGCTGTCCCTCAGTTCTTCAGCTCAAAGCTAGCGCTCTACCACTTGAGCCACAGTGCCACTTCTGGCTTTTTTCTTTTTGCTTATGTGGTGCTGAGGAATCGAACCCAGGGCCTCATGCATGCAAGGCAAGCGCTCTACCACTGAGCCACCTTCCCAGCCCGGCCTACCTATTTTTATGTGTGTGTTTTGCACATTTTTTTATTTGTGCAAGTGGTAGAGCTGGAACTCAGGGCCTGGGCACTGTCCTTGAGTTTTTTTGCTCTAGGCTGACACTGTACCATTTGAGCCACAGATCCATTTCCAGATTTTTGGTGATTAACTGGAGATAAAAGTGTCACAGATTTTCCTGCCCAGGCTGGCTTTGAACCATGGTCCTCTTGAGTAGCTGGGATGACAGACTTGAGCCTCTGGTTTGGGGCTGTTTTGCTCGTTTAATCTGTACATACTAACAATTCCAGCTGTGCAAAATGTTAACATGTCTTCCACCACATTTGTCTTCTCAGAGGCAGTAATTTTTTTTTTTTTTTTGATCTGGTCGAGGGGCCTGGGCACTGTCCCTCAGCTCTTCAGCTCAAGGCTAGTGCTCTACTACTTGAGCCACAGCAACACTTATGGCTTATGTGGTGCTGAGGAATCAAACCCAGGGCCTCAGGCATGCAAGGCAAGCGCTCTACCACTGAACCACCTTCCCAGCCCTGGCAGTAAATATTTCTTTGCAAGAAAAATTTACAGATTGAAGCAAATACCTACAAATTGTTTTTTTCTTCTCTTTTGGGAGCCATGCCTCTGGTGAGTTTCTTTTTAACAGAAACTACAGCTAGCTAGCACTTGTGTGTGTATGCTTTTACTGGAGTTTGGATCTCCATTTATAAGCTGAGGTGTTGCTGGCTCATGCCTGTGGGGAGGCCTGTGGGGGGCCCGGGTGCTGTCCCTGAGCTCTTTTGCTCAAGGCAAGTGCTCTACCTCTTGAGTACTTCCTGGTGGATAATTGAAGATGAGTTTCACACTTTCCTGCCCGGGCTGACTTTGACCTGTGATCCTCAGATCTCAGCCTCCTGAGTAGCTAGGATTACAGGCGTGAGCCACTGTTGTCCAGCTTTAGTGTATTTTTTATTCAGGGAATTACACTGATAGGACCTGAGCGCATTGGCAAGGTGGTTCCTCTTCCGTAGCTGCAGAGTACAGCATCCACCATGGTGGATGGCTCATAATTCACCCATTTTTCTGCTGATCAACCAGATCATCTCCAGCTGGGGCTGTTACAAAACACACACCAACATGGTAGTTTGTTGTGGTGTTTGTGTGGATTTTCCCTGTGAAGGCATGAGGAAGCAGAGGGGGTTGGAACACCAAGTGGGTATACCTTTAACTTCAGTAGATAGTACCAACTCATTTTCACACCCATTACAGTAATAATTTCTAGTCCTTGTTGAGCATGGTGGTGCATGCCTGAAATCCCAGAGATGGGAGACTCTCTGCCCTGGGCAAAAACTCAAGACCCCCATCCAAGGAAGGGTCTTGCGTGCACTTGCTGCCCCTTGAACCACACCGCCAGCTTACTTTAACATTGGTTGTATTCAAGATCGGGTTGGCCTGGACCGTGATCTCCCTATTTGTTTTCCTTTGTTGAGAAAAGAGGTACTGGCTGAGATTTAGTCTTTGTGAACTCATGTCTGATCTGACTTCTGGCTTTCTGACTTTTGAGTCTTGTGCCACACAGAATCGTGGGCACTTGAAATCCCTGCGAGTACTGCGATTACACATGGGCACCATCATGATCAGCTAACTCGCCGTTTTTATTTGGGGTGAGGTAGTCTATGCTGAGTGTGAAGACAAGGGGTCTTGATGGATCTGAGAGGAAACCAGAGAGTTGGGGTGATGGCAAAATGAGGGTACAGGTGGTGGGTGGGGGTGATGAGGCAGTCTTGGGGGTTGGGTGGGAGGGCTCTGAGGGACCTAGAGAAGTTTCTAGACGCAGACACTCAGCTTGGGGCCTCTCCAGGTATGGGATGATGCTACTGGCCTTCCTTCCAGAACCTTCCCTCTGCAGTAAGTGTACTGGCTTGTCCTCCATTCCCCAGGGGTGGGATGGCGGCTAAGGCCAGGGGTCCTGTGATGGTGTGGGCTTGGGTGCCAGTCCTGCCAACCACCACACAGCTCAGCAGAAGGAAGGGTGCCAGGCCCTGGCCCTGGGGAGCACACACAGGCCAGGGTGTTCCTGGGGCAACAATGGAGGCCTTTCTAAAATCTTCTACCTCTTTCAACTCTAGCCCGGTGGGGAGGGCGGATCTGGCCACCCTCTCTGGCTGGCCCTGAGTTCCAGCACAACTCAGGACAGCAGTCCTCCAATTCTGGCTCTCGGGTGGGCGCCGTGGGGCAGCTGGGTGCTGAGGCCCTGCCCTGACCCTGGAGCTCTGCGAGGAAGAAGACGCCACTGGGCCACGAACCCCTCACCGTTTATTAGTTTACCGGCAACCGTGCTCAGGCCTGCATCACTGGCCGGGACATCTCTGCCTGCAGCTTCACCCCTGAGCCCGCGAAGCCCGTGCCGCCCTGCAAAGGTGGAAACGGGTGAGGGAGGCAGCGAGGAGGGCAGACAGCGGGGCGTAGGGGGCGAGGGGGGGGGAGGCTGGGCTCTAGTGGGATGCAGGGTGGGAGATAGGGTGGGGAAGCTGGCCAGGGACCCAGGGGGCAATCGGCAGGGAGGGGGCAGGGTCCTAGGAAAAGGAGGGCAAGGCCTCAGGAAGAGGGAAGGGGCAAGGTCCTTAGAAGAGGGCAGGGACTGCAAGGGTATGTGTGTCTATGGATGGGGGCGGGGCCCACAGGAAGGGGCGGGATCACACCAGATTGGGAGGAGCCTGGAGGGTGGAGCCCAGGGAGGGGCCTACAGAAAGGGGTGTGGCCACAGCCCGATGGGAGGGTGGAGCCTAGGGGCGGGGCGGGGCCCGGCAGTGCACAGGGGCGGCCTACCCGCTGCAGAACGATGATGTCGCGTTCCGTGAGAGCATCCCCGCTCACCGGGTCCATCATGTCTTTCCGGATCAGCCTCTCCACGCACTCGAGGGTGACCACCGCCCCCCTGCGGGTGGAGGGCGTAGGTCAGGGGTGGCCTGGGCAGCCCACAGCCTGGCAGAGCCCCCCCCCCCTCGTTCCCCAGTCCCGGGCTCACGAGGGCCGCAGCACGGCGCAGGGCGTCGCATTGCTCAGGCTGTCGCGGGTCACTGCGCACACGTAGCGCTCGCTGCGCGTGATGAGCCCCACGCGGTCCACCGAGTCGTCCAGGGGGGTGAAGCGCACGGGCGTCAGGTCGGACATGCGCAGCGGCTTCCCCGACATGGGGCAGGTGACGGTGCGGGACTGCGGGGCAGAGGCTGGCGTCAGGCGGGGGCTGCGGAGGGCGGAGAGGGGACGCCCCCTTCCCCACCATGGGACCCTAACCAGCCTCACTGCGAGCTCACCGGCTTCTCCAGCTTGGTGGCCTTGGCCTCAGGCGTCAGCGACGGGATCCAGAAGCTGGGCAGTGCTTTGTCCCTGTCCTTGTCCTTGCTGGGAGCTGCGGCGCTGGGCCCGGGCTGGCCCTCCTCTGAGGGGAGGGGGAGAATCGAGAATCAGATGGGCGTCCAGCCAGGCAGGGGGTGGCCCCGCGCCCCTCCCATTCCTGTCACCTGTGCTGGGTCCCGAGGCGACCTTGGATGTGAAAGGGTTGAGGGGCCGGCTCACGATGGCCTCCTCCTTCTCCAGGAAGCCCCGAACCTGGTCCTGGGCAGCCGCACGCTGCAGCTTTTTCTGTTCCTCCCGCCGGGCTCCCCGCTGCTTCTCGTAGGCCTGGGGGAAAGGCAGGAGGCGCTGAGCCCGCATCTCCTCACCCCATTTCCCTTGTAGGCACACAGAGGTCTACCCCCAGCACTGCTGGGTAGAAGGTGGCAAGCACCGAGGCGTGCATGTTCAATTGGCTGTACAAACCAGGCATGGTGGTACTCCTATAATCGCAGCCACTCAGGAGGCAGAGGTGGAAGGATTGAGTGTGAGGCCAGATTGGGTTACACAGTGCAGTCTTATCTCAAAAAACAAACAAAAGTCAGCCAAACCAGGCTTGTGCTCAAGTCAGATGGCTATGCCTGTTATCCTAGGTACTCAGGAGGCTGAGATCAGAGGACTGCAGTTCAAAGCCAGCCCAGGCAGTAAAGTCCTTGAGAATCTTTTTTTTTTTTTGTCAGTCTTGGGGCTTGAACTCTGGGTCTGGCCGCTGTCTCTGTGCTCTTCAGCTCAAGGCAAGCGCTCTACCACTTGAGTTACAGCACCACTTCTGGTTTTCTAGTGGCTTATTGGAGATAAGGGTCTCACGGGACTTTTCTATCTGGGCTGGCCTTGAACTATGATCTTCAGATCTCAGCCTCCTGTGTAGCTAGGATTACAGGTGTGAGCCACCCGTGCCCACAGTCCTTGAGAATCTTATCTCCAGCAAGTGGAGTTGAGACTTAAATAGTAGAGTAGTAGCCCTGGGCAACAAAGCTCAGAAGCAGCACCCAGGCTGTGGGTTCAGGTTCTAGTATGAGCACACACAAAAGAACACTGTCCTCCCCTTCCTCACCTTCATTTGCCGGGCAATCTCCTTCTTCTGGTGCAGAATGTACTCCAGGATGGCCTCCCGCTCGAACAGGTACCCATCAGGGCTGCAGGGAGGTGGGGGAACAAAATGGAACTGACCAGATCACAGCCAGGGGGAAAAGTACGCCCATTACCTGCTCCCCACCTGGGCTGCATGCAGGGCCCACAGCGCCTCCCTGAGCCCCGAGGGGCTCCCTCCCACGTTTATTTAATTTTTTTATCGTGAAAATATCGTTTAGAGGGGTTACAATTATATAGACAAGATAATGAGTACATCTCTTATCAAGCATTGTTGCCTCCTCCTTTGTTTCCCCTTCCCATCCCTTCCCATCTCTCCCCCACAAGTCCCACCACTCCAACCCCACCAAAGTTCGTTTTTCAACATGATTTGTATGTCTCATTGTTGCAATGGGTCCACCTGTATCCCTATTTAAACGATTTGTTTTTTCCCTTCCCCTCCACAAATTATACCAACATCAAATACAGTGAAAGCAGGGGTTATACCGTGGGGGAGGGACATACAAAGCAACAAAGAA